AAAGCCTGTCAGAAACCCGTTGCCATGGCAACACAAAAAATTATTATCTTATTCCAATGATAAAGAATTGTTACCAACAATATTCTAGGAAAAGTCAACAAGTTTGGCTGTTCTACGGCTAGCCGTTCAGACGCTAGGTGACATCAAAGTTGCCGCGGGCACTTTTAGCCCCCCCCCCCGTCAAGGTAGGGTTAAACTGCTTTTTAAAGTTTTTAACACTAGAAGGTCAATCCTGTGTCTCAACTTTGCAGTTTCAATGAAGCTGCTCTTTAATTTCAATTTCTGTCAATCTTTAGTACTTAGTTAATACGAAAATTATCCAACGTGCAGTATCCAACAACTTGACTGTGCAGTCCCTAACTTTCACAGAGTAAACAATTAAAAAGCAAATAAACTGCGTTTCTAGAATAACCAAGAAACGTACAAAACTTAACATTTTTATCTCCAGTCCCAATGACAAACGGCAGACATCTGCCGACATCACAGAAGTACAGTTGAACTTGATCTTTACAGTCTTAATTGTGTAAAAGTCATATAGACTTTGGTATTAATACCAATTTCATGTTTACGCACAGGTGTTACAAAAGATCTTTCTTTAAGATGTTAATTATGATGCAATGGCTAGTCATACTGAAGGTTTATCGTATAAACAGGTTTGTCTTCAGTGGTATAAGACATACAACTGTACAGGACTGGGGTCTAATCTTAACTTATCGTTACCTTTAGGAATGTGGGTAAATGCTTAAAAATAAAATCATAAAGTCATTACGTGGGTCATAAAGACGGATATTTCACCTCCTATGACGGACACGCCTTTGGGTTTAGGCCAAAAGGTAAATCATTTTCTATACTGCTTTTTGTTTCATTTTTTTCCTGTGTGTTTGTTCTCTTCCAACGTGTTAACATTTAACAATTTTGTTCATACGCCAGAAAAAAAACAGTTACTCAAGCAACTGTTTATGATTTTGGAAACGGACAGACGTTTCAGGTACCATCCACTACCTTTCGTCGGTGACACTGGGAAAAGGTAAGTGGATGCTACCTGAAACGACTGTCCGTTAAGCGTATCTCATTACCTGGATGTCTAACCTTCATCGACGAATGTATGTTCATATTTCATCTTTGACAAATATAATTCCGTTGCTTTCAGATTTCTTTATCAGAAGAATAGTAAAAAAAAACAGTAGCAATTAAAGTATCACTAACCTGTTATTACTACGATGTCATTAATATTGCAATGCAAAGTGGTTTTACATGTACCTGCTGGTTTGTATAATGCTGGCTGGTTAATCCAAGTTGTTAAGTTTCAATTTTCGTCATTTCAGTGTTTTTCGTAAGGCCATGCTGATTTTATAGACGACATTCTCTTTTGACCATTAAAAATAAAAAAAAGTCGTCATTATTAAAGTTGTCGTGATGGATAAAAATGACTGAACATACAGAATTTCGAATACCATATTTTTTTCTTCATTGACTTTGCAAAATTTGTTCGAGTCCTGCTTATCATTAACTAACATCTGAGTATTTTCGTTTAAATCATTAAAGTACCGAACGAAACAGTATGGCTCCAAAATTAATGCACGTGAATTAATCAATTTTAATCCTGTCAGTGTGGCCTCAGTTCACCAAGACGCATTGAACGACTTGACAGTGAAGACCCTTATAATATGAGTAATAAAGACAAAATGTAAAATAATGCTGATCTATTGGCATAGCATCAATCATTCCAATTTTGTAGAGAAATAAATTATTTTTTCCTGTTAATTTTTGGTTTCTCGAATGTTTGGGGATGGAAAAATGAGGCCCTTCCTCGGTAAACTTATAAATTGCTCATCGTTCGACCATGAATTTTTAAACGGCGGTGTACAATCTAAATCAAATTATTAAAGCAACTTAAGCATTATTATGATGTCACTTTAAATGCAATTGCAACGTCATTTATGACATTTTCTTACATTAAATGTGATAAAACTCCGTTTCCGTACAAATGAAAGAGACAAAGCGAAAAAAAAGTTTGTAATTGAAAAAAAAACGGCGTTTCAATGGCAACGCAAAAAAAAGCTGTTGCGAGATAAATTCCAGAAAAATGAGTCAAACCGTTGGGTGGCTCTAGCTTAAGCCATTCAGACGACATGCAACATGCATGTCAAAGTTTGTGTGGGCCTCATACGCCAACATGCGTGAATAGACTTAAATCTAAAATGCATTGACTTGAATGGATTTCATAATAGGGATATTGTGTGCCTGCATCTAGATCGCTGAATATTACAACTGTTACAATATATGTAAATGTTACAAATCAGATGCATTTCGCAAATTACGTTTACAGCATAACATAAAAGAAAACAAAAAAAGAATTCTTCTCGCCGTTAAAGTAGTTTCCAAAGACACTGGCGTCATAACATAAGCACATATTCAGAGACACAACAGTAACCGTCCAAAGTTACCTGAACAGGCCCTACTGGATATGGAGCGGTTAACCCTCAACAGTACACCTTCCCGGACTGATTAATCTGTACACCTGGGGTCCGCGCGGACCCCAGAACAGTTTTTTTGCTAATTTTTAGAAAGTATCAACATGCTACCAGCTCATTTTTTTGCAAACTGATGTGGGAACCTCTGTGTCCACATTACATACAAAAATCATACATTTTGAACTTTTTCTATTTTTTGGTGAAGAAAAGGAGACAAGAAGAAATACCCGATTTTTAAACCCATTTCATACTGAAGGGGCTTTTGAGGCCCAACTTTGATCTCAGATAGCGGCTAAACGGCTTGCGCTAGAAGTATCAAATTTGGAGCCCTTTCCTAAAATGTCTCTGGAAAAAAGTTCATATTAGTTTAATACTAGTAAGTTGATGTTTTTTTGTTGTCATGGCAACGGGTTTCTTGCAGGCAGTTTTTTTTTTAAATAGAAGTAATTTTGGCTTAAATATAAAAATTTCTGAGTTTTATATTGAATTACACTTCTTTTCCAACATTAATAACGTCTTACATAATTGAATAATATGCGCTCTTATGGTGGCTTTATTCGGTGGTTATAGCAACTGACAAGGCTTTATCACACCATATTCACCTCGGGGCGGGACATTAACCCTTAAGTAATGGTCAAATAATGTGTCCGTTGACGGTTCGTTGACCTCTGACATTAAGAACACGCCGCCTTGCTTGTTATCATCAAAAAGCAATAAATGTAGCTCAAGCGCATTATGTTCGGACACGGTTTCGCAGGTGTGTGTGGCACGTGGACCAGATGTGAGTTACTCGAATCGCGGTTTGGGTGATTCCGTATGGACACGGCCTTAGAAACATACATCTCGTGAAGTCCGTCACCATTTTCACAGCGAAGATGATTCAGCCCATTTTAACGACCTATTGCGGAAAGAAAAGGAAAACATATATCAGAATATTACAGTATCCTAATGCTTTAATTTAATACATTATTGTTATATGTATGGCTAATGTATACATTTGAAATAAATTTGATCACATCTACAATCTTCATAACAATAAGGTTCTTTAGTATTTCTAAAACAATTACCTATTAAGAGGAAGAAACGCCGTTTTGATGAATTTTTAACAACTGTAGTCCTCCTTGAGCCCTAAGGCGGGTGTGGTGTGTATGTACCTCAGATACGGTCTGCTTTATTTGGAAGTTTCTGGAGTTTATCCATGTGACCCTTCCCCCCTGGTCCCATACTGTACTACAGTAGTGTATGTGGGGCAAGAACAAGTCAGCGTATATCGCTTAATGCTTGTCTTTTTAGGGACGACTTTAATTGTCTGTTTAAATGTTGAAAGTGTTGACACCATTTCAGTGTATTGACAATATTTCCCCCTAATACTCAAACGCGTTTGTTTAAAAACATAAAGAGATGAAGCATGCATGGGTTGTTTTCGCCACGTTTAACACAGAACCAGAATGGCAAATTGCAGAAGGAAACTAACAGTTTTTCCAGTAGCCCTTGTAGACCGTGGTTAAAGAACACCAGAAACGGTCATGGTCGACGCTGTTACACATATGATAGGTATTCCCTTTGTACGTGAATGAATAAGGGCGATCTGAAAGGTAAGGAAAAAGTAAAAGGCATGACGAGGACAACTGTTTATCGATCCGTTGCTGTACCTAAAACTATGCAGACACGCAAACAATTTGCCCAAGTAAATAATAATTCATTTTGTAAGCTGCTCACCCTGAAGTCAACCGACTGTCTACGCCGCAGAATAATTCGGAAGGAAAATAACAGTATATGGGATGGAATTATATCTCTTAAGCTGCAAGACCAACTGATTTCGGTTTCTTAAACCTCTTTAGTTTTGGTAAAAAAATTAACACAAAAAATTATCTGCATAATTATTGCTCAAAATTAGGGATGTTCATGTAGGGCAACCCCATTGAAAAAGAAATTTCCAGCTAAAATGACTGACGCTGGCAGAAAGACATGAATTTTTATTCCATTTAGAAATATTTTCGTCATCAATTCTGGTTATTTTGTACATAAACCATCTGAAACTAGAGAAGTAGCAAGTGCAAAACAAACGCATAAAACTGCTCTGTTAATTCTTACTCAAACACATTCACATACATGTACTACTAGTATATGGTGCCAGGAGCAGTCCATATAATTGCAACATTATGTTACCCCAACACCAGTCACTACGGTGAGTCTGACAGACGTAAACAAATCATGTCATTGGTCAGGTCAGAGGCCACTATTTGGATAAGTAGAAGAGGAAGAAAATGAGAAAAAATATGTTTTGCTTCGTTAAACATAATATTTGAGACAAGTTCTTTCGCGGGGAAAAGTATCAAGAGTAATATCTGCGAATGCTGAGGTGCTCTATGAAAACTTTGTTCTGCTATCTTAAGTAGTGTCATAATTTACATTGTACATGCTTTGAAAAAAACGTAAAGTAATGTGATCATTGGTTTACGGTGTATATGGCCGGCTTGCAATGAAAACAACTTGGGGCCGTAAGAGTCATATATATTAATGGCAGGGGTATGTAAATAAATGCATGGACAATTTTTGTACACTAATTTAAACAATAAGCCAAGTGAGAGAGTAAGCATTGGGGTCCTGATGAAAAAGTTACATAAAGGGATTTAGCATGCATGGGTTATTTTGGCCATGTCAGACACAGAACAAGAATGGCAAATTGTAGAAGGAAACGGTTTAGCGTGATAATGAACTTACTTCCGTCACAGTTTTTCCAGTATCCATTGTAGACCTTGGTTAAAGAACACCAGGGACGGTCATGGTCGACGATGTTACAGGCATTATAGGTTTTTCCTTTGTACGTAAATGGAAAATGGCAATCTGAAAGGTAACGAAATAAGTAAAAGCCATGGTGAGAAAATGTCCGACAGGTCATTATCATTTATTGGCCTTGGCCACCAAAGCTACGCCCGTCAGCCTGAACCAGAATGGCAAATTGTAATAGGAAACGGTTTAGCATGATAATGAACTTACTTCCGTCACAGTTTTTCCAGTAGCCATTGTAGACCGTGGTTAAAGAACACCAGGGACGGTCATGGTCGACGCTGTCACAGGCATTATAGGTTTTTCCTTTGTACGTAAATGGAAAACGGCAATCTGAAAGGTAAGGAAATAAGTAAAAGCCATGGTGAGAAAATGTCCGACAGGTCATTATGATTTATTGGCCTTGGCCACCCAAGCTACGCCCGTCAGCGTGAACCAGAATGGCAAATTGTAGAAGGAAACTGGACTGGAATTGAAGACACAACTACACCAGTAATGGACAGTATCCAAATCACATGTGAGGGAGTGAAGAAATTGATGAAAAACCTCAATCCACCAAAGCCGGAGGAACGGATGGAATCAACCCAAGCGTGTTAAGAGAGTTAGCAGAAGAACTGGCACCTGCACTGACTATTGTTTGTAAATCATCACTGGCATCAGGCACAGTCCCAGACGACTGGAGAAGTGCATTTGTCACACCAATATTTAAGAAGGGTGAACAGTACAACCCTGCAAATTACAGACCTGTATCATTAACATGCATTGCGTGCAAGATAATTGAACATATAGTGGTAAGCTCAGTGATGCAACACTTCGAATCTCACAACATTCTGAATGATAACCAACACGGTTTTCGAAGAGGGAGCTCGTGCGAAAGCCAACTCTTGGAGTTTGTGGAAGAAGTCACGTCTAACCTGGAAGAAGGAAGTCAAACAGACGTTTTGATCATGGATTTTGCGAAGGCCTTCGACAGGGTTAACCACATTCTTTTGTTACACAAGCTCAAAAGATACGGTATCCAAGATGCAGCCCTTACTTGGATCCGTAGTTTCCTCAGTGACCGTCGCCAAGCGATCATAGTCGACGGCCACAGCTCAACGTATGCTAGCGTGCGTTCAGGAGTCCCCCAGGGCTCGGTATTGGGCCCTTGTTTGTTCCTGGCCTATATTAATGACCTGCCAAACAAACTATCCGCTCGGGCACGGTTGTTTGCGGATGACACTGGCGTGTACAAGGTCACCTCCAACACAGAGCAGCAGGCAGAACTCCAACAAGATCTCCAACGCCTGGCTGATTGGGAGAATTGTTTGGACATGGAATTCCACCCCTCTAAATGCGTGGTAATGTCGGTGACTAGACGTAGAAGACCGCTTGTGAGCTCTTACGTCTTACACGGCCACACCCTAGCTACCGTACATACTGTCAACTATCTGGGAACAACGATGAGTCGACACATGGCTTGGGACACACACACATCTGCAATACTGTAAATAAGGCAAATCGGGTCCTGGGATTTCTCAGACGCAACCTTAAGATCTGCTCTAAGAGAATAAAGGAGAAAGCATATATGTATACAAAGCATTTGTACGGCCCATACTCGACTATGCAAGCACAGTGTGGGATCCGTACACCAGGAAGGGAGTGAATAAACTAGAAGCAGTCCAGAGAAGAGCGGCAAGGTTTGTGCTCGGACGTTACCACAATACCTCCAGCGTGACCAGTATGCTGAGTACGCTTGGCTGGTCATCTTTGGAGAAACGCAGGAGGGTGGCACGGCTAACTTGTCTTTACAAGATACAACGCGAGCTTCTTTGGTGTCCAATTATCAAGAACAAATTGGTTCCTCTCCCTCCACGACAACGTAGAACCTACAACAAACAGTTCCGTCTTATTCACACAAGGACACAGTACAGACGAGGGTCCTTCCTTCAAGAACAGTGAAGGACTGGAACAGGCTTAGCTGCGAAGTGGTGGAGGCACCTACCGTGGACACCTTTGTGTCACGTGCCTCCAACAGTCACTGATCAGTGCGGTTTTACAGTGCCCTTAAGGATTCCCGACCCAGGCTACGGACTACGGACTAATGAGATGGGATTACGGTTTGGAAAATAAACAGGTTCGCCAGAACATGCCTGACGAAGGCAGCAGGGCACTATGACATGCCAGTGTCATCACTAACGTGATGTTGAGCATTGAAGAGAAGAAGAAGAGAAGAAGAAACGGTTTAGCGTGATAATGAACTTACTTCCGTCACAGTTTTTCCAATAGCCATTGTAGACCGTGGTTAAAGAACACCAGGGACGGTCCTGGTCGACGCTGGTACAGGCATTATAGGTTTTTCCTTTGTATGTAAATGGAAAATGGCAATCTGAAAGGTAAGGAAATAAGTAAAAGCCATGGTGAGAAAATGTCCGACAGGTCATTATGATTTATTGGCCTTGGCCACCCAAGCTACGCCCGTCAGCCTGAACCAGAATGGCAAATTGTAAAAGGAAACGGTTTAGCGTGATAATGAACTTACTTCCGTCACAGTTTTTCCAGTAGCCATTGTAGACCGTGGTTAACGAACACCAGGGACGGTCCAGGTCGACGCTATCACAGGCATTATAGGTTTTTCCTTTGTACGTAAATGGAAAATGGCAATCTGAAAGGTAAGGAAAAAGGTAAAAGCCATGGTGAGAAAATGTCCGACAGGTCATTATGATTTTTTGGCCTTGGCCACCCAAGCTACGCCCGTCAGCCTGAACCAGAATGGCAAATTGTAGAAGGAAACGGTTCAGCGTGTTAATGAACTTACTTCCGTCACAGTTTTTCCAGGAGCCATCGGATAAATAACACCAGGGACGGTCATGGTCGACGCTGGTACAGGCATTATAGGTGTTTCCTTCGTACGTGAATGGAAAACAGCAATCTGAAAGGTAAGGAAATAAGTAAAAGCCATGGTGAGAAAATGCCCGACAGGTCATTATGATTTATTGGCCTTGGCCACTCAAGCTACGCCCGTCAGCCTGGGGCACAGGCCCCGAGCCACATGTGGCTCCCAGTCCCCTTTCCATTTGCGCCAGACACTCGGACGGGCGAGGTGTCTCTTCTTGGTCATCCCTCTGATTTCACTTTGTTCAAGATGACTAAACCGGAAACTTGCTCGGTCTGCACGTCAGTGGCCATCCCAAATTAATTTGAAAATTATGTGATTTCTTAATGGTGAATGATGAATTTTATACCTTGTTACATGTGTAAGTTACTTAAAGGTTAACATTAATATGCATATATGATTGTAATATAGAGGTCATTTGTATAATTAATAAGAACATGTATCGCCAAAAGATACCAATTTTACAAGCAAAATATTATAATTTGAGATAAGAAAACCATAAATTTAACCAGAGTATTGTAATTATGATCTTATTGTTGAATGTGACAAATCCCCCCAAAACATTCACATCAACTCTCCATATTTCATGGAGGTATGAAATCTCCGAATTCTTGTTCTTGATTTCTATTCACTAGTATGGTTCGCATATGCTTCTGCATAATATGTGAATGCTTTTCTGTGTTATTGACTGTCACAGTGCCCTAATTTAAAACCGTCGATTGGTTGACAAATATTTCGGTGTCCTCCCAGGGTGCAGACGAGACTGGACTACATGCCAATGATGTTGTATTCTATTACGACAATTTCCCGTCATATTACCACAGTTTCGTCGATTCAAAACGTCGTTAATCGGTGCTGGCCGTATGGATATCGCTGGGGAAGTTTGCTTCTAGTCTTAATTCGTCTTTAATAGCGTCCTGTTATTTTTCAGTTACGTCAAATAATTTTGAAGCCCGGTTAGGCTATGTACGCTTTGCATTAATTAATTGCTAATTATGTTCCACCAGGGAGTTAGAAGGCTAACTCCATTGTTCCACATGTGTTTTTTGTCGCCTCTATTATGTCAGTTGCGACATAGTTTTTATAGCTTTCATTCTTTTTGTAGCTTACTCTTCTGTTCTGTTAGAATCCATGCAAGGTATTTTACGTCTGTTTATGATGGCAATCAGCTTTGGTAATGAGTTTCTGCAAAGAGCTTTGTTTCTGTAGGAAAATTCCGTCGGTTGGTTTTTCTGTCTTGTCAAATCACATTTCTCGTCGCTAGCTGTGCAATTAAACGGTCTGTACGTTTTTCATTTTCACCTTGGGCTGACGTGGGGAATAGGAATGTCATAGATAGAGTGAAAATGGCTGTTCTTTTTCGTGAGTTTCTATATTTTTGATAATATATTTCTGTGTTTTTGTCTGTTCATCACAGCAATTGTTGTATTAAAGTTTTCCTGATTTAACTTGTTTTTATTTGTGTTCTCGCATTTGATCTTTCCAATGCTTCAGACTAAACTATGTATTTTCCAAACCTAGATCTTGTATTAAAGTTTTCCTGATTTAACTTGTTTTTATTTGTGTTCTCGCATTTGATCTTTCTAATACTTCAGACTAAACTATGTATTTTCCAAACCTAGATCTTGTTTTTTTTTTTTTGGCCCATCATGTAGCATTGAATTTAAGGTCTCTACTGGACGTCATCCCAAAAAAAATACTTGGTTTGGCCTTAGGGAATGATCTGACGCATGTGCAACATTTCCTCCTCCCACTGTAGTTATTATAGCACAGCCCCTCAATTTAAGCAACTGATTCAAGATGTCCCGGTTTAATCCAAGCAGAGGTTGGTGAGGTAGGGTCATTATATTTCTAACACAAAAGTTTCACTGCAGCGACGTAGGGACCTTCCACGAGGCCCGTTTTCGAACTTGACCTTGGTCTCTACAACGGTAACCTGCCTACCAAAATCATGAACATTTATTACTCGAGTTATTTTGTTAACTCGAGTAATTTTGCTAAAACGTGTTAATCCAAATCATGATTTGGAATGGACCACGATTTGGAATGCAGCAGGCATTCAACACGTTGTATTCCAAATCATGGCGCAACTGAATCACGATTTGGAATGATCCAAAACGTGACCGGCCACGCTGTCAATCACGAATGACTGAAAGGAGTTGTGATTAATTATTCATTTTTGGTCCGTTGGCTGCCTGTATACAGATACTGTGTTATTAATTAAATCACGTCGTGTTTACTTGTCTGAACATGTCGTCGAACTTAGAGTGCCGATGGTGTTAGCACGTTGGAGCTGTATGGGAAAAATGTCGTCCATGAACAGTCAGTACGACAATGTCCTTGGTTTGATGTTCCATGGCCTGGTTATCGGTCCTTGGTTTCTCATTATTTTCCCGCTAATAGATTTACGTGATAGTTCTTTATACACAGAAGAGAAAACGTAATTTATACTTAAAACTTTTCATATTAACCCTCAACAGTACACCTTCCCGGACTGATTAATCTGTACACCTGGGGTCCGCGCGGACCCCGGAGCAGTTTTTTGCTAATTTTTAGAAATTATCAACATGCTACCAGCTCAATTGTTTTGCAAACTGATGTGGGAACCTCTGTGTCCACATTACAAACAAATATCATACATTTTGAACTTTTTCTATTTTTTGGTGAAGAAAAGAAGACAAGAAGAAATACCCGATTTTTAAACCCATTTCAGACTGAAGGGGCTTTTGAGGCCCAACTTTGATCTCAGATAGCGGCTAAACGGCTTGCGCTAGAAGTATCAAATTTGGAGACCTTTCCTAAAATGTCTCTGGAAAAAAGTTCATATTAGTTTGATACTAGTAAGTTGATGTTTTTTTGTGTTGCCATGGCAACGGGTTTCTATTTTTCAAAATAGAATTAATTTTGGTTTAAACATAAAATTTTCTTGGTTTTATATTAAATTACACTTCTTTTCCAACATTAATAACATCTTACATAATTAAATATAAGTTAAATCATTTAATATGCATAGAATATGCTGATTTGATGAGGTCATTGGTCAAAATCCAATATGGCGGACTATATTATTAGCTCTGACGTCATATGACGTCATAATTACACCAAAGTTATTAAAATTTAATTCTATCACTACACCATTCTCTGAAAACTTGGTAGACATAAGATGAGTGCATAAAAACATATAAAAACGGAAATAAGGTAATGTATAAGAACGCCAATGTATCCATTATGATCGAAAGCCGGCTGGGGTCCGCGCGGACCCCAAAAGAAAATCAGATATAATTTTTTATGAATGGTAGAAACGGAGTTTTCTGCAATGTATTGAGAGACAACTTTGTGGGTGACAATTACCTAAAATTTCAGAAAAAAATCTTTAGAAACAAAAAAGATACAACAGAATATATAGTGCTGGGGTCCGCGCGGACCCCAGGTGTACTGTTTAGGGTTAAGGTGAAGTTTGTAAATATCAAGCATTACTTTATGTCATGAAATTACGCAAATAAGCTTAATTTTGTGAGAATGTGGCTATGGTCTCCACGGCCCAGCTAGCATATATGTGGGGATATTGGGTTACTCGCTCGGCCGCGGCAAAGCCAAACAGTGAAGTTACCAATTGTAGCTCACAGATGTCTCCCTACGATGATAGATAAAAGTTAATATAAAACTTGTCCAGACACGTATCATTTAGCCACGCCCTCAGAAGTACGAGGCTCCGCCCCCAGACATGTGATTACGAGAAACCATGCTTTGGAATGCAACAGGCCAGGCATTCCATTTCGTGTTATTCCAAATCATGTTTTGGAATGGACCACGTTTTGGAATGCAGGTACATTCCACTTCGTTTTATTCCAAATCATGATTTGGAATGGAACACATTTTGGAATGCAACAGGACCTCCCACGAAGCCCAACATGCACTTGACTTTGGCCTTAACAACGGTAATCTGCCTGCCAAAAACTACGGACGTCGAATAATGCCTTCAAGAGTTATTTCCTTAAATCCGCAGTCACCCACAATACGGCGAGACAATTCCATAGTGTTTCTGATGAAGACAATAAACATGACAAACCCTTCACAGCTTTCTGTCCAGGTCTGCATCCCTCTACACAGCGTCCCTCATGTTGATACTTGCAGGTGTCACAGTCTGTTGAAGCAGGTCCGGAGCAGGTCCTTTTCCCTTCATTACTGACATCTTTACAAAGGCTGCTGCATTCTACATAGAAATATTATGCTTTCGATTAAAAATTACATGTATTCAATAGGTAAAAAAATAGTTGGAATAGGCTAACACTGGACGAACCTTAGGATAACAAACTTCTTTAAACAACGTTGCTGAAATAAATCTGACAAGATTGTGTGATTTAATATTACGGTAGCAATTACGAAAAAGGAGAATACTATTTAAAGTATTTGCCTTTTTCGTGATTGCTACCATTTATTTCTATTTAAAAATAGAATAGACATTAGAATTCAAAAAGCTTATCACTAAGAATGTGCCAGAATTAATTTACAATTCAGTGGAAATTAATTGACATTTACACTCTGCAGTGCTTTTTTACTATCTGTTGCGTAAAAATATATTACAACATACTTTCGCACACGTTGTTATCATCAAAGTGTGTCAGAGGGCACTCCGTCACACAGTCCACAACACCATCAGGGTGGGTTTCTTTCATTCTCTTAATGCCTGGAAAGAAAACACATATTAACAAAAGCACCTATTTATTATATATAATCTTCAGGAAAATTTACTCACAGCTCTCAAGACGCGAACGCCATATTGTTTTCTTAAAACATAAATGTAATTTAAGAGCAAAAACAATAATAGCTAGGTTTGCGAGGGTTTAAAGCAACTATAAATCTAGTGTCTATAATACCTATACCTGTATTTACCTTTAATATAAAACAACAAAAGACTAATTATTGAATTCAAATTAAAACATATGAAACTTCTATTGTAATAGTATATGTACGCATTACTAACATGAACATGCTTTTGTAGCAGTGTCAGATTTCATGTGCTGTGGACACTGCGCGACGCATTCGAAATCACCAGTCTGTCCCTCTCTGTAGGGGTAGGACACCTTCAGATGTTTACAGGCGATGCAGTCATTTGGAGAGTCGGATCCACTTGTGCGGCATCCTGTGAAGAAAAAAAGGAAAAAGGAATGCATGACCTTTTCTTTTGCTACAAAATGATTCTATGGTGGCCATGTTTTTATCTTATTTTATCTACAGTAGACAACTGCACCGATAAAAATTACATGGCTCAACAACAAAAATGAAATAGATTAACCCTACCTAGACCGGGCTTTTTTTGACATGGGGGGACCGGGGGGGGGGGCTCTTTTGACCCCCCTAAGAACTCGCGAACGGTATGTCGTATGACCACCAAATTTTCAGAGAATGGTGTACTAGTAAAAAACTATCATATCCACAAATTTTATGTCGTTATGACGTAATATGACGTCATTATGACGTCATTAATGTGATTTTATTGGCCAAAACCGTCTAAATAGGTTTTTCCCTGAAAACTAAATGGTATTCAACATAACTGTACCAAAAGTGTTTATGACAGAATATTAGGGTGTACTAAGTCTTATGTTGCCCATAGCAACACCGGTGACGTCATAAAATGACGTCATGCATATTTAAGATATCCGCCATCTTGGATCAGCAATCTTGAATTTTCAAAAATAGTTTTTTTCATGATAAAGCCTAAAATAAACTGTAAACATACTAAAGACCTTCGTTTACAACTTTTTTGGAAAAAGAAATGGAAGTATTGATGAAATTTTAATGAAAATAACCCGTATATACCTGTTTTAATGATATGGTCCGCCATCTTGGATTTTGGCCAATGACGTCATCAAATTAGCATGAATTATGCATATTTAATGATGAAATTTACATTAAATTATCAAGGATGTTATTAATATTAGAAACCATGAGTAACTTGACATAAAACCCATAAAACTCTATTGTTGAAACAAAAAATACTAAATTTAGCAAAAAATGCCTGTCAGAAACCCGTTGCCATGGCAACACAAAAAATTATTATCTTATTCCAATGATAGAGAATTGTTGCCAACAATATTCTAGGAAAAGTCACCAAGTTTGGCCGTTCTACGGCTAGCCGTTCAGACGCTAGGTGACATCAAAGTTGCCGCGGGCACTTTTAGCCCCCCCCCCCGGTCTAGGTAGGGTTAAAGGTGAAACCAGGAGTTTTCAGAATTTAAGAGACATACAAAAAGAAATGAAGCAAAAAATAAAACCTTTGAAAATGTTAGTACAATTTGACACTTAAATGATGACTGTAGGATTAAATAACACACAAGATTCCATGTCTGAATGATTGCAGTGCACATGTGTTCACCGATAATCTTCAAGGCTAGTATAAGCAATAATTCAGGTTTAATACCTGACTAGGTATACGTAGCGCAATAAAACAAGCAAGCAAGGTTACATCAAAATGCAAAGACGAACGTACCGTTGCACTCGGAGTGACATTTTTGTTGACAGACCCCGTTGATCAACTCCGTCCCTTCCCGGCAGATGATGAAGTCCTTTGCCGGCTTGTCCAGCAGTGACAGTCCCATCACCTTGACAGGAGACTCCCCACTGCCGAAGGAATAGTACCGAAGGGACGCCAACTCGTTGAATTTAAAACTCAACCAGACGTGGGGACGCTCCTATTATGAATTTTAGTAAAAAAAAAGATATTAATGATGTTTTGTCCAAAAAAATATGCCTTTCTGTCAATGTACGAATGCCTAAATTTTAGAACTATATATACACACCTCGTTGTCAGGCGTCTTGCCGAATTGAATGACTGTTGTCGTGTCGTCCACATCTTCAGTCACACAGACAAAGTACGACTGGTACAGGGTTGCCGAACCCAGACCGCCGGCATTGTCATTCAGCTGGGTGGTTTTTAGCCGCAGTGCCTACATTTTTGTATGAAACATGTTCTTACTGTTAGTCCTATTACACATTACCGCGCACAGCGGTAACTTTAGTAATACTTTAGTTTACACTATCTTAACCGAATGTATCAGAAAATACATTCCTGATAAAAGTTCAGGAAGGTGTCTGCTCCAGATACAACAATGTAGATAGTCCTCGGAATAGCTTCATGCTGATATCTCAAACTACTGACATCTTCCTTACTTTTAGTACCATGGATGAATAGATAAATATCCAATGCTCAGACTGATGCGCATATCTCAGCTTTTATAAAATCCGTGACCTTCGAACAAAACTACATACTAGTGAATGCTACTCAAGAAGAAGAATATATAGAAAGAAAGACAAAATTCTACTCTAATCCTAATTTTCGTAAAATGCATTGTGTATGTTAGGAAACCTTGACGGGTTAAGGTACCTCACGTGACAATTCAGAAAACTATGACTACGTGTGCTGACCTTATACAGTGCCACTCCCTCAGGTGTGATCTGTACATATATCCATGTCTCATGGTTTTGCGGGATGCTGGCAAACACAACAAAGATGTCGCCTTCTGATGCTGCAGTGAAGTGGATGCACTTTCCTCCATCGGTCGGATCAAAGCGATGCGCGTTAGTCCATTGGATGCTACACGGTACGTCTCCAACTGTGTCACTGCAGAAGAGCAACCAAAAATTCTACATTCATCATAGTATTATTATTTATCAACGTGTTAATTATATTACTTAAAATATTTCATTTCTAATTCAATGTGTATTTAAAAATGAGTTGTTCTTTGTGAGACCACTAAATCCCATATTGGTAGTACTTAATCGGTAGTGGGTTTACTTACCTCTTCTGGCTTAAGTGGTTGAGTAGTTGTTTGTACTCAGCTCTGGCGACGTCACGGCCTTTTACCCAGTCTGGTAAGTCTGTCAGTAGTGTAACTGAGGCATTAAAGTCGTCCTCCGTCACCGTAAAGACACCTGTTCCCTCATCATACGTCATGACAAGCCCCTGGACGCTGACCTGCGGAATCGTCATGTCATGTAGAACTGCATTTGTAAAACTGTCATGAAAGTTCATATGTGTTGGTAGTGATTATAGTAAAATGTTTAAATACAAAGATCACACAGAGATCAAATTTTTGACGACCACTGTCGCCTTAATCAGGATAATGGATGACCAATTACTTTAAAACATAATCTCACGAGAGTTACGATATACAGACACGTGACCTTAATCACACGAGACTTTGCGGATACGTGACGTAAGCAATAGGTCAAGAGCACCAGGCAGTTTATATCGTCCACCGTCTCTGTGATGACTGGAGTGCCCTGATGATGGTGACAGTGGTCGTTGAAAATTTGATCTCTGTGTAATCTTTGTATTGAAACAAACTTCAACATTTTACTAACATTTTAAAAACTGTTATAAGAAGGTTGAAGATTGTTAAAAGACTGTTTAGGTGACGAACTGAATGCACCATGTTCCGTATGTTCTGATTTGTTTACCTTTTTCGCCTGGTCGTCCTCGCTTCCCCCGTTTTTGTAGCCATCATACAGATGTGGTACAGACCCTTTCCTGGTAGAGAACCACTTGTGACGATAGAACTTAAGTGTCAGCACGTCTTGAGCCCGAAGAATCCCCGGGATGTCATACGGCATGTCAAACACGACCGTGAACTCCTTTCCTCCGGTCATGTCTTTCCATGTGGGCACGCCGGTGTTGTCTTCCTGAAGGAACGCCAACATGGCGGTTTCACAACCTGCCTCTCCAGCGGGCAGGAGGAAGTCCGAACTCAGGATACGACCCTACACGTAAAATATGCTTAATGAGTTATGTCTATGTTCTAATATCTTAGATCATCACTGGACTGGAATTTCAAAGCCAATTAGGATCTAGAATCCTTCAAGGATTCGATATTATGTGTATCAATAAATATAAAATAGAATAGTTGATACGAATTAAAAATGAGTTTAACCCTACCTAGACCGGGCTTTTTTTGACATGGGGGGACCG